TGGCGGGCGGGTGGGTCGGGCGGGCGGTACATTACATTGTGTGATGATCGAATTCACACGCTAGAACCCTAACGGGCGGGTGGGGTCGGGTCGGGCGGGAGGATCCCCAACGGGCGGGTCGGGTCGGGCCAGGCGGGCGGGACCTAGGGGGCGGGTCGGGTCGGACGGGGCGGGACAGTAAAGTGAGGTGCGTGACACGCGAGTATCCTAACAGGCGGGTCGTGTCGGGTCGGGCGGGTCGGGTCGGGCGGGCGGGGACATTAAAGTGTTGTGCATGATCGAATTCACTCGCGGGTGTCCCAACGGGCGGGTCGGGTCGGGTCGGGCGGGCGACCCTACGGGCGGGACGGGTCGGGTGGCCGGACCCTAGCGGGCGGGTCGGGTCGGTCGGGCGGGACATTACAATGTGGTGCCTGTTCACGCGCGAGAATCCTAACGGGCGGGTCGGGTCGGGTCGGGCGGGCGAACCGTACCAGGCGGGTCGGGTCGGGCGGGCGGACACTGACGGGCGGGTCGGGTCGGGTCGGGCGGGCGGACCCTAGCGGGCGGGTCCGGTCGGGCGGTCGGGACATTAAACTGTGGTGCATGATCGAGTTCGCGCGCGAGTAACGTAACGGGCGGGTCGGGTCGGGTCAGGCGGGTGGACCTTAACGGGCGGGTCGGATCGGGTCGGGCGGGGGACCTTAATGTTGGTCGGGTCGGGTCGGGGGGCGGGCCTCAAAAGGGCGGGTCGGTCCGGGCGGGCGGGACATTACAGTGTGGTGATGATCGGTTCACACGCGGGAACCCTAACGGGCGGGTCGGGTCGGGTCGGGGCGGGTGAACATTAAAGGCGGGTCGGGTCGGGTCGGGTCGGGCGGGCGGGCCTTAACGGCGGGCCGGGTCGGGGCGGGTAAGGACATTATCGTGTTGACACGCGAGAACCCTAACGGGCGGGTCGGGTGGGTCGTCGGGCGGGGGGACCTTAAGGGCGGGTCGGGTCGGATCGGGCGGGCGGACCCTGACAGGCGGGGTCGGGTCGGGCGGGCGGGACATTAAAATGTGGTGCATGATCGAGTAGGCACGCGAAAGCCCTAACGCGCGGGTCGGGCCGGGTCGGACCGGGCGGGCCCTATCGGGCGGGTCGGGCCGGGTCGGGCGGGCGGGCCCTAACTGGCGGGTCGGGCCGGGCGGGCGGGACATTAAAATGTGGTGCACGGTCGAGTTCACGCGCGAGTACCCTAACAGGCGGGTCGGGTCAGGTCGGGCGGGCGGACTCTAACAGCAGGCGGGTCGGGTCGGGTCGGGCGGGCGGACCATAACGGGCGGGTCGGGTCGGGCGGGCGGGACATTACAGTGTGGTGCATGATCGAACTCACACGCGAAAGCCCTATCGGGCTGGTCGGGTCGGGTCGGGTCGGGCGGACCTGAACGGGCGGGTCGGGTCGAGTCGGGCGGGCGGACTCTAACGGGCGGGTCGGGTCGGGCGGGCGGGCGGACCCTAGCGGGCGGGTCGGGTCTGGTCGGGTCGAACGGCGGACCCTAACAAGCGGGTCGGGTCGGGCGGGCGGGAAATTAACGCGAGTACCCTAACGGGCGGGTCGGGTCGGGTCGGGTCGGGCGGGGGGATCCCAACGGGCGGGTCGGGTCGGGTCGAGCGGGCGGACCCTAACCGGTGGGTCGGGTCGGGCGGGCGGGACATTGAAGTGTGGCGCATGATCGAGTTCACGCGCGAGTGCCCTTACGGGCGGGTCGGGTCGGATCGGGCGACGGGCGGGTCGTGTCGGGTCGGGCGGGCGGACCCTGACGGGCGGGTCGGGTCGAAAGGGCGGGACGTTAAAGTGTGGTACATGATCGAGTTGACACGCGAGTACCCTATCGGGCTGGTCGGGTCGGGTCGGGTCGGGCGGACCCTAACGGGCGGGGCGGGTCGGGTCGGGCGGACCCTAACGAGCGGTCGGGTCAGGCAGGCAGGGTAGTAGGCCTAAGGGGTAGACCCAGGGGTAGGCCTAGGGTAGGCCTAGGGGGAAGGCCAAGGGGTAGGCCTAGGGAGAAGGCCTAGGGGGTAGGCCTAGGGGGAAGGCCTAGGGGGTAGGCCTAAGGGGTAGGCCTAGGGGTAGGCCTAGGGTAGGCCTAGGGGGAAGGCCTAGGGGTAGGCCTAGGGTAAACCTAGGGGGTAGGCCTAGGGGTAGGCCTAGGATAAACCTAGGGGGTAAGCCTGGGGGTAGGCCTAGGGTAGGCCTACCCTCCGGGTTCTATAAGGATTTGAGATCACCCTCAGTTGTAGAATACCCAGAATGCTGGTTTGAGGAGACCTGGTTGGTTTGGGAAGACCTGGGGGTTGGTTGGTTTGGGAAGACCCGGTTGGTTTGGGAAGACCCGGGGGTTGGTTTGGGAAGACCCGGTTGGTTTGGGAAGACCTGGCACGTTGGTTTGGGAAGACCCGGTTGGTTTGGAAAGACCCGGGGGCGTTGGTTTGGGGAGACCCTTGTGGTTTGGGAAGACCCCGGTTCGGTTTGGGGAGACCCGGCGGTCTGATTCCGCAACATTTGGTTTGGGAAGACCCGTTCGGTTTGGGAAAACCCTGGTGCCGGGGGGGGGGGGGACAGGAGAGAGGGGGGGGGGCTGGACAGGAGAGAGAGGGGGGGAGGGGGAGACAGGAGAGAGGAGGGGGGGGGAAGGAGAGAGGGGGGGGGGGGGGACAGGAGAGAGGGGGGGGGGGGCAGATTCTGGCTCAAGCCAGCTCGCGCGCGCGCCCCCGACGGAGGGACGGAGAAAAGTGCAGGCCCCTTTTTTGATCGATCGCCCCCAAGATGGCCCCAAGAGACCTCCAAGACCCCCCCAAAGAGCCCCAAAAGGGCCCCAAGACCCCCAAAATTGCCCCAGGAGTGCCCCAACAGACACCACGGGGACCCCAAAATGACAAAATGGCACAGGGACCCCCAAAACATCCCCAAGAAGGCCCCGGGATAGCCCCAAGATGCTTCCAAGAGGCTCTCGGAGCGAAAGACCCAGAAGGGCCTTGATGCTTGACTCTTGACTCCTGTCGTCGTCGTCGTCGTCGTCGTCGTCGTCGTCGTCGTCGTCGTCGTCGTCCTCGTCGTCGTCGTCGTCGTCGTCGTCGTCGTCGTCGTCGTCGTCGTCGCGGTGGTCGTGGTCGTCGTCGCGGTCGTGGTCGTCGTCGTCGTCGGCGCGGTCGATGTCGTCGTCGTCGGGTGCGTCGTCGTTGTTATGATCATCGCTGTGGTCGTCGTCGCCGCTATCTCCCTCTTGCCTCCCACCGCCTTCTCCCCCTCTTCCTCCGCCTCGGCCTCGCCCTCCTCCCACTCCCCCCACAAGGAGGAGGTGCAAGGAGGCAGGAGGAAGGAGGAACAGGGGAGAGATGCGAGGGCAAGCGGAAGCACGCCTGAAAAACACGAGTGTCGGCATGCTTCGCAAGAACTGCTGTTTTAGGATGGGCTGGTGGGGATACGGGATACGCGAAGCTTGAAGAATTGTGAATTCTGGATTCTGCATGGCAAGGTCCAATCCTGAACCCGGAATACAGAACCCAAAATCCAGAAAATACGAACCCGGAATCCGGAACTGCAAAATCAAATCCGGCATCCGAACCCGGAATCCAGAATTCTCGATTCTCGAATCCGAAATGAAATCCGGAATCCAGAATCGGGAAGTCTTGATTCTTGGTTCCGAGGTCCGAGCTGGAATCTGGAATCCGGAATCCATGGATTCTGGATTCTGGTTTCTGGACTCCGAGGTCCAATCCAGAATCCGGAATCCTGAATCCGGAATTCTGGATTCTGGTTTCCGAAGTCCAATCCGGAATCCGGAATCCGGAGTCCGGAATCCAGAATCCTGGAGTCTGGATTCCGAAGTCCACTCCGGAATCCGAAATCCAGAATCCGGACTTCTGGGTTCTGGATATCTAGACTCAGAGGTCCAATCCGGAATCCGGAATCTGGAATCCAGAATCCGGAATTCTGTATTCTGGATTCCGAGGTCCAATCCGGAATCCGGAATCCGGAATCCGGAATCCGGAATCCGGAATTCTGGATTCTGGATTCTGGATTCGGATTCTGGATTGGACCTCTTCGTCTTGACTCTCCGGATCGCCACTCGCTTGTGCCGTTCTGGCTTCGTCGATCCTCTGGCCCCAGGCAGCGCGTGGCGCGGTTGGTCTCAGAGAACACGGCCTCCTCGACGCTGTACCTGCGGGCCAAGCTACGCGTGAGCGACACGCTCTCCAGGTAGCTGTCCTCGCGAACGGGGGAGGCCATGCAAGTGTGCACGGGCAGCCTCGCGGCATCGGCCTCGAGGTCGAAAGCCACCAGCCACGAGAGCGAGTGGTCGCCGTCCTCCTCCTCGCCGCCCGAGCCGATGCTGACATTGTCGAGCAAGCGGCGCCACAGGGAGGCGCTCCGGAAGATGCGGGTCCCAGACGTTGCCTTCCCCTGGAAGCAGCGGTCGCCGTGCGCCTTGGGGTAGCCAGTCGGGTATGGAGCGTACTGGAGCCTCCAGTGCGAGCGCCGGATGTTCCACACGTTCAGGCTCCAGAAGCGTTCGCTGCTCAGTGAGGGTAAGGAATAGAGCAATGACATAAACATAGCAACTCGGAGGTCCTCGCAGATTTCTCGGATCAGCGCTGGACCCCCCTCCCTGGCGCGCGGAGCGCGCCAGGGGCAGCGCCGGAAGCGCCGCCAGGGGGGTCCATCGCCGATCCGAGAAATCCGCGAGGACCTCCGAGTTTTTATGTTTAAATGTTGTTCGTTTCCCCAGAGGGGAAGCCCACCACGTGCAGGCCGGCCTCGGAGGAGGGGGGGGAGGAGCAAGAGGAAGAGAAAGGAGGACGAGGAAGAGAAAGGAGGACGAGGAGGACGAGGAGGACGAGGAGGAGGAGGAGGAGGAGGAGGAGGAGGAGGAGGACGGAGGAGCAGGAGGGGAAGCCCACCACGTGCAGGCCGGCCTCGCGATCGACTAGCTCGACGGCCTGCTGCAGCGACGTGCCCATCTCTGCCGGCCAGGCGTGCAGCAGCGGCGACAGCATGACGACCACGGCGCCGTCGCGCATGCCGGAGGCCGCCCTCGCGAAGAACGCGGGGCAGGCGCGCGGGTCCGCGCGCAGCACGTGGCCCCTCCAGCCAGGGCTGGACCCATAAACGTTGCTTTTCGTTTTGTTTTCGTTTTGACTTTCGTTTTGCTCCACCTGTTTTCCTGCACCTCCCTCCCAGAACGACAGAGAGAACACGGCCGACATCCAGCAAAAAACACCGTTCAGGTCCAGCCCTGCCTCCAGCCGTGGGCCATGGAGAACTCCGCCAGCGCCTGCGGACGAAGAGAAGCTGCACCAGAAACTTTCGGAGCTCCGCGCGGATTGAGGAGGAGGAGGAGGAGGAGGAGGAGGAGGAGGAGGAGGAGGAGGAGGAGGAGGAGGAGGAGGAGGAGGAGGAGGAGGAGGGGGGGGGAGGAGGAGGAGGGGGAGGAGGGGGTCGGCGCTGGGCCCCATCCGGCGGCGCCTCCGGCGCCGCCCCTGGCGCGCTCCGCGCGCCACGGAGGACGGTCCAGCGCCGATCCAAGAAATCCGCACGGACCTCGGACAGTTTGCTCCCACCCGAAAAGGTTTTTTTTTGGAGAAGGGGGAGGAAGAGGCGAAAGGGAGACCGCGCCAACGAGCGACCACCACGAGGAGCTGGCAGGCCATACTGCCACGGGACCGTTATCGCCCTGATTCCCATTCGCAAGCATGCCACTAACACCGAAAACAAAAACGTGGAGTCGGCAGGTAAACCTGCCGCAGGACCGTCATCGTCCTTTCCTCCTGCAAGCGGCGTAAACGCTGGGCCAAGCGGACGGGGGGGAGAGAGGACAAAAGGAGAGAGGGCAGAGAGCGGGTGGTTAGGTTTAAGTCGGGCATGTCCCTCTATAGGAATTTCCAACAAATAAGCAAAAAAATCGGTGGACGATGTTACACCAACTATATGAATATCTGTAATATTTGTCCTTCACAAGTCTGCCTGTAGGGGCACGTGCCCGACCTAAGGTTAGGTTGACAAAAGGGCTCCCGACCCGCCTCGAACAGCCTGCATACAGTGGGGGCGTGTTTTTTTTTTTTTTTTTTTTTTTTTTTTTTTTTTTTTTTTTTTTTTTTTTTTTTTTTTTGTCTTTTTTGTTTATATATATATATAGTTATATATATAAAACTTTTCGAGCGGGCGCGAGCACCCGCGTGGGCGTGCCACGAATTCACGGGCGCAGCCGCTGGCCCGCGCGAACGGCGCGGGGCGGCGGCAGGGCCCTCGGCGGCCGAGGAGGGGGCGCTCACCACCGCTGGCCCCGCCTCCTCGCCGCGCGCGGGGCCGCAGCGCCGTGCACCAGCGTGCGGTCCCGCTCCCCGCGCGCCTGGGCTGCCTCGCGCCCACGGGCGCGAGCGTCCTCCACCGACGCGAAGCCGTGCGCGCGGAGGACGCCCTCCAGGGCGGGCACGAAGAGCTCCTGCACGCCCTCGCGCGCCGCTGCCTGCACGGCCTCCGCGGCCGAGGAAGCCGAGGCGCTCGCCACCTCCGCAGCTGCACCGCCTCCAGGCCCAGCCGCGCCAGCTGCGCTGCCCGCTGCATGCCGTGCTGCCGCATGCCTTGGCGGGACGCCAGGGCCGACCTCGCGCTCCGCCGCCAGGAGCTCGTCCTCCTGGGGGATGGGCCCGCCGAAGTCGTCCATCTTGAGCGACCTCCGCCAGCGCTGCATCTCCTCCCAGGTCGGCTTCTTGAGCATCGCGATCGGCGGCTTCTCCTTGCCTGGCAAGCGCAGCTTGCCGAAGTGCGTCTTTGCCTGAGCTCGCGACCCCTGGCTTGATCTGTGATCTCCACCACCGCACGGCTTGGCCAAGCCCCTGTGCGCGTACCTCGGCTGGTGGCAGTACATGAAGCAGCGCGTGCACACCAGGATGGCCTCGTGCGGCTTGCTCACCACATTGGTCTGCATCAGGTTGTGGCCGTGCACTACCCATGGCTCGGTTCCAGCCGCGGGAGCAGGGGACGGGCGTTCCTCCTCCAACTGGAAGCTCAGTGAGGGCACTGCGGACGACTTGGCCTCCGCTCTGCGCCGAACCTCTCTCGCAAACACCTCGCTCGCAGCCTCTGCACGTGTAGCGCCAGCCTCGCCTGCCCCCGCAGCGATGGCGGTGGCAGGGGCGGAGCAGGCCCTCTGCGCGGCTGCAGGGCGCTTGCGGACAGGCCCCGCTGCGCCGCCCGCGGCGCCTGCAACTCCACCAGTGGCTGCTGCGCTGGCCGAAGCCGCCGCGGTGAAGGCTGCCGCTGTCACAGCAGCCGAGCTTCTTCCACGCTGCGCTGTGGAGATATCCAGCAGGCCGTAGCCCTCATCCTCGCACGTCAGGTTCCACGGGTAGAGGTACGGTTGGAGGTTGACTTCATCCAGTGCTTCCGTAGGCCAGCAGTCTCGCATACCAGAATCTGAGATGTAGACCTCAATCTCTGCGGCAAAGCGAGCTGCATCCCGTGCCCTGGCCAGGCAGCCTTCCAGGAGCTGGATGTCGTCGACTGAGGGGACGTGGAGGGCGGCTCCTTCCTTCGCTCGCTGGTCAGCTAGGCGGTTGCCGAACAGCTCGATAGCCGACAGCTCTCCTCTGGCCACTGCCGCTTCTGACCGATGTGCAGGACTGCGTTTGATCTTCACGCCTTCGGCGGCATCCCCGGCTCTGGCCCACAGGTGGGCGTAGGGCGAAGTTGGGCCCTGAGCTCTGCCGAGGTTGAGCGCCGAGTCAACTGTGCCCTGGCAGTCTATCAGCAGCTGGTAGTTGCCGATGACCTCTGTGAGCGCCACCACCGCTGCGTAGTCTTCACCCGCACGTGCCGTCTGCGATGGGCATAACCTGGGAGGGACCGCCCCCCACGCTTCGGCTAAGATGGCACCTTCCTTGGATAGCACGACGACCGACCAGCCCGCGCTGCGCAGGCGCGGAAAGTCACCGAGGAAGCAGGAGCCGTCGGTGAATACCATGGCGCCGTCTTCGACCACAACAGCTTCCTGCCAACCATGAGAGAGCCGCTCCCATTGGGGCTGCCAGCGCGGGCGATGCAGCAGCAGGGATGTGTCCACGAACAGGCCCTGGCAGAACAGCTCGTCGAAAGGCGGGCCCATCTCGTGGACCACCCAAGCAGCGCGCTTCAGGTCCGACGGCAGCCTGTCACGCCGCCAAGGTTCCCAAGCTGGGCAGACGTGGTGCCTGTGGAACATCGTGCCACGTGCAGCCTGGCAGAGCTTGCAGATCGGATCGATGTCGGAGGAGTGCCTCGCCAGACGGTCCTGAGGCCAGTGCGAGAGCGAGACCAGCCAGCGCAGGCAGCCCTTGTGGTGCCCATTCCAGGTCTCCGTCTCCTTCTTGCCGAGCAGCTCGTTGACTGGTCTCCACTGAGGCGGCAGCTTCCATGGCCAAAGCGATCCAGGTCGAGCTCGAGCCTCCTCGAGCGCAGCCGCTTTCCTCGTGGCCTCCCTGGCCTTCTCCGCCAGGAACGCGGGCGAGAAATGCAGCACCTCGAACTCCCCCTTGTCCTCGTCCAGCAGCTTGGTGCCGTCGAAGGAGAGCCGCCAGCCTATCCTCTGTAGGGTGAGCGTGAGCGCCGCTATCGGCTGACGGACCGAACTCCAAGGCCGTTGCTTGCTGAGCACCTGCTGGCTCTCTTGGACGCACGCTTGAATGGCTGAGGCTGTGGCTTGGCCAGACCACACCACGTTGACGAAAGCCTGAACTGCCATGCCCACTGCAACCACCAGCGGGTCCTGCCGCCAGCCGCGGGGCGCGCACTGCAGGGCGAAACTTAGGGCCGCTCCAGGCGGCAAGCGACAAGCGCACTTCGCAGCTGCCACCCTCAGCGCCCTCATGCGCCCAGGTGGGACTCCAGCTATGACCGAGCCCCAGAGCGCCTTGGCCGTCGGCCCCGCTCGCATGACTCTAGCTTCCCGAGGGCCAGGTCCGAAGATGCGTGCCAGTCGTCCAGCTTGACGGAGTGCGTCCAGTTCTCGCTTGACCTGCGTCGCCACCATGCGGTGTCCACCAGCAGTCGCGTCGCCACCGAGGTCACGGTGTCCCTGAGCAAAGGCGACCTTGTCTAGCGGCCACCCCTCTTGCTTTATCAGCTCGCGCTGGAGGTCCACTGAAGAGGCCAGCACTTTCGTTTTGCCCCAGTTGATCGGGAGCCGCTTGTCCCTCAGCATCGCCACGACGCCCTGGGCGAAGCTGTTCATCTGACTAACCAGCACTCCTCTGGATCCTATTCCATTGCCCGAGATGTCGTCGATCACGTTGACAATCCGACCTATGGGGGGCCTCGCTCGACACTTGACAAGAAGGTCCATCAGCATGAGCCTAGCCATCGTTGTCGCACAAGAGCAGCCTGCGATGAGCGTGCCCCTCGCATGGATCACCTCGCTGACGGCGCTGTCAGCCGTCGCTCCCCTCGGTCCCGAGTGTGCCACACAGAACGCACGCACCAAGCCTGTGCAGAATCCGTTTAGCTCGGCCGCCTTCAGAAGCAGCCCATGATCAATCCTCTCGTAGAAATTGCTAATGTCGAAGTAGACCGAGACACCGTCGAAGCCGACCTTCCGAGCAAGGCCAAGGTACAAGTTGTGCAAGTACGCTGCCCTATCGCAGCAGGTGTCCGAGCTGCTGCCCCAGATCTCAGGAAGGCGGTGGGCTCGCTCCCATTGTAAACAGTACTGCCTGCGAATCCTGCCCCACACTCGGAACCAAAAGCACATCAAGCCGATGGGGCGGTGCCCGCCCCCAGGCTTGCCCAAGAAGACGATGAGCGTGGTGAACATCGCCGTCGGCTGCGGGTGCCTTTCCCATTGCGTCAGCACGTCAGCCATGCGCTGCGCGAACGGCCTTCCCAACATCAACAACAATTTGGGATGGAATCCATCCCATCCGAGCGCCGTGTTCTTCGCGAAAGTCCTCGCCGACTCGAGCACCTCCTCCGCCGTAATCGGGGGCAGTTCCGACGTGGTAGGCCAGTCAGCAGGACTGGTCTGCTGTGCATCCCCGCTGCTCCACATGGCCTTCCACTCCACCAGCATCTGATCCAAGGCCGCTTGGCCCACCAACGGTACAGGAGGCGAGTCGCCGCTGCCGTCCGCGAGGATCGGCTTCGCCTCACCGTGGGACTTCTTGCTGGTAGCATGAGCTCCACGGCCTCCACCAGCCAGCGACTCGTCCACGAACTCCTTCCAGCGGGCCCTGGCTGCGGACGCATCGCCCTTGACGTGCATGTCAGTGACCATGGCGATGGCCTTCATTACCTGCAGCCCGT